TGATATCTTCTTTGTGTTAGATTTGAGACTTCACACACAAGAGGGGGGTGAACTATGTGGTTTGAAAAAACGTGGTTAGGAAAACCTTTGTGAAATAAAATCAGAGTTTAAAGACATTTTTGAAAAACTTAGCTGCAAAAAAATAAAAGGCAGAAAATAAATTGTAGAAATTTAAAACAGTTAAGGGAAGAGGAAGGACACCAAGAATTATATTAGATCAGTCAAAATTGACTTAGTCATATCCTCAATAATTTATCTTGAGAGTTTCCAACAAATGTTGAGAGCTTTTAGTAGGAAAGACTCATGAACCCCCTTATATAAGGAAATGATGGTTGATCTTCAACCAAATAATACAAGACGGTGGATATGGGAGGTTCTGTCTTTTCTTCCAGATGATCTCAGGAGTGAAGTGGCCAATATTCCTTCCCAACGGTGGATTGAAACGGTTAGTCTACTTTCCACTAACAAGAACCTTGAATATATTATTCTTAAAGCTTCTTAAACCTTGAGCTTAAATTCTTTGTTTTACACGAGATAACAAATAATCTGTGAGATTTTAACACCAGGCTCATCTCGAAACTATGAAACTTTTAATATTGGATTAAGCTTCAACCTATCTTGGTTTTAATACCGGGCTGACCAAGAACCTATGAGATTTTATCACGGGTTGATCTCAAACCTAAACTAGGACTGAATCACACAATCTCAAACCAAAGCTTACTACAGGTTTAACTTTTAACCCAAACAAATACCTAAATGGATAATATCCAACCAAGGAGTATACAAAGGATTCCTTTTGTGAATTTACAATAATACCCTTTCCAGGATTACAAATATATCCTCACCCACAAAAGGACTTTTTTCATAAAAGCACTTTGTAAGAAAGTGTCAAAAAAAGTTAAAGAAAAGTTTAGAGAGAGTGAGTTGAAAGTATCAAAACACGATTCTGGATGTATTGAAATGAGAAAAAGGACCTTTATCTTTAATTTAGAGGTTGCCTCAAAAATTAATTTCAAATTAATGCGTTTTAAGGCAATCTAATTGATTATCACCTTTTCATAATCAATTAGATGTTTGAAAAAAACTATTTGTAAGTTTATAAAAGGAAGGAAAAGATATATGGCAATTGTGCTTCATTAAGGCGATGTCTTAATCGTCTGGGACTCAATTTTGAACTGACCTAATTGATTAGACAAAAGTTGTGACCGATTAGATAAGTCAAAATTTTGTCTCTTGCAAGTGTGACAGTTCCTAATTCATCTAACACAACTTCAAGATGTTTTTAAAAATATTTTTTTTGGTAAAAACATTTTGAAATGATTTTAGTATGTGTGCGTTTAGCCTTGCACTGTTATGATAACATCCTTTTCTTTACAATTTTTTACTCATTACTAAACTAGGAGTTTACCACATTACTTCAAGATTTTTCCAGATACTTCTCTTTTTGTTGACACATACTTGAGTAGCTTGAGACAATGCTACAGTTACATTCCATTTGGTTCCCATCATCGGATAGTCAAGTCCATCAAACCCTAATGATAAGGTTTACATCTTTATCCTCTTAGTTATTCATTGTTTGGCTTACAATAAAACATTAGTTGCCATCATCAGAAATATACGTGAAATTCTGGCTATCAGATCCCGGATGTCCTACAAGATGTCGAGACACCGGATCCAACTTCACACACAACAACAAGATGTATAAATAAAATTAGCAATGCCAAAAGTAAATAACATAGGATATGTTTATCCTGTTCGAAAAAAGTTTCCTACTCTGGGGGCTACCAAGCCAGGGATGAAATCAACTAGATAGTATCAATTTACAGACCTTACAGCAAACCTTCAGTTTACAGTCTACGCACTTAAACACTACCCTTTGCTTAACTTCTACCTAAGACACACCTAGGTATGAGGCCCTCCTCAAATCCCTCTTCAATTACACTCAACAATTGGAGAAAACTCTAAACACAAGCAGAGAACCAAAACAATTGGAAGCTATACTCTCAAAATATGCAAGACTCAATGCTTAAAAGCTTATGAGAATCGACACACAATATGTTCAATGTTTAAAAGCTTATGAACATCTAACAGAGAAGTTACAACCCAACAAAATAGTCCCGCTCTTCTATCAAGATGATATTAAAGAGGCTCACAAAATAAGGATTCTACAACCCTAAAACACATATGTAAGTTCTACCTTATACTAGGTATACACCAGTCTATTTATAACTTTATTCTAGATTAGGTTGGGCTTAAAAACCGCAGTAGTGAGGCTTCATAAAGTTTGCAAAAAGTCCTCCAAGAAAATAGGTCTTCAATCATTAGTTTCCTAATAAATATCCATATTTAGAAACTAATCTAATCTTCAAAAACAATCAAAGAATATTCTGACTTACCAATCTTGGACACCACATAAGCTAACTGAATATTCCCTGAATATACAATAGCTAAAAATCAGATGATCCATACTATCAGCTCGTTGTAGACGCGATGTCCTATCTCCTTGTCGGGACATCTTACTTGACAGGTTGAAACAAAATGTTGGAACATCTTGTTCAACATGTTGCTGCTAAAATGGTTTTATCAAAACATAAACCAACCATAATTTCAGAGAAATAACAAACTTCCCCTTTGACACATTTTGGCTAAAATACTTAAACAACCCTTGCACCAAAAAAAATATGCTTGAAAATAAATCAAACATACACATCAGAGGTACAACAGTGGAAAAACATATATGTAAGGTTAGCATCACAGAAAATAGCAGCACACATACATAGTTAGTAGTTAGTTGATCTACTAGCACAACTGCATCAAAAATAAAGAATCATAGGATGTTGCACTTTTGAATCCATTTGTAGCTCAATGAAATTGTTTTGGAATGTTGCACTTTATTTCCCTAGTTTACGAAATTAAGAGATTGTACTGTCCCAAAATGAACAACCAAAAAAGAAATTTTGTTTACGTGTTCAATCCATAACCTCTTGTGATTCCTCCTCATTTGAACATAATTATTATGTTTCATAAACTTCCCCAAATAGTCCTTTGTTGTCGGAAGTGTTATATGATTAGTAAAACTGATTTGCAATAATAAATATCAATTTTGAAGTGGTGTAGTGGTAATTTGCTATTACTTGTAAGCTAGATAGCTTGAGTTCAAATCCATGCTAAATCAAAAAAATTGGAATGTTTTCTCAAAATATTAATCACCTTAAAGATGAATGTGTGCCAAGTCACGTGCCACACCTACAAACATCTGTCACGTCAGATGCCACCCAAGAAAAAGTTGACGACATTTAAAATTATTTTTTCCATCCATTAAAAATATTTATTTTCCTCATATGATACAACACATTCAAAAACATCTAACCGATAAATTACTAACAATTTTCTAACTAACTTAATTCAAACTTATATGTATTTTTAAAAAGGATTATGGAGATATTTCCTATCGACTGCGAACTTCGTCTAACAACTCCGCAATTTACAAACGCAGACTTGGTTTAAGGAGAACTCAAGATATTTCCATAATCCATAAAAAACACTAACCAGACAACTACGAACTACGAATTGAGACTCTGATTTCTCATAAGAGGATACGTAGGCATAGACTCAAAATTGTGGCGAGTTACCCTAATAAAAATTAAAATCCTATTTCTTGATTTGTAAATCTAAATCCTAATATTTTTGTGAACAAGGTAGATGGGGGGTGCCTAACACTTTCCCTTCGTATAAAATGAGTCAACAACTTAGAATCTCTGATCAAATTAGAGTTATCTGTTATACTCCCTTCCCTAGAATAAAAATTAATGGTCGCGAATCTCATTTTCAACCCGGTTATTACACATGGTTACCTTTTGCATCCTTAAGAAATTCAAAATAAATATTCATCCTCGTAGGCTTAAGAAGACTTTGGAGGCCCTTTGGAAACCTCCTACTTTAGGTTGGATTAAATGCAACATGATGGAATGGCAGTGGAAATTCCTTCTTTATGTTTTGGGGGTGGGATTTTTCGAAATGTGACAACATATCATGTTGATAGTTTTGCTTCCTTTTTGGGAGAGAGGAATGTATTGTTTGCTAAGTCGAATGCTACAATGACGGCAGTCAAGCTAACAATTGACATAAACTGGAATATTCCTTGGGTAGAGTCGAGTTCCTTTCTACTGGTTAAGGCTATCTCCAATACTAATTTGATTTTTTGGAAGATTATAACAAGATGGTTAAATTGTTATGCTATCTCTCGATCTTTAGACTTCATAATCACTCATATTTTTAGGAAAGGTAATATTTATGCGAATTCTCTAATTTACGTTGGTTTTTACTTTAAATCATACTCTTGGTACCATAATCTTCATAAAGATATAGCTAAAGATTTCTTTTTAGACAAATTTTATACTTTAAAACTTAGACTTAAGGAGTTTTGGTTTAGTTCCCCTTACCTTCTTCATTTTTTGCTTTTTATAGATTTGGCTTTTATTTTATAAAAAAAAAAAAAAGTTATTGACAACAAATACCGAATATTCAAAAGATTTAAAGTAAATAAAAATTAATTTCTTTTCTTATAACTAACATAGGAAAGAGTGTTTGCTGAGGTAAGTTACTATGTAATAAATTCATTGAAAACATCAACCCCAAATACATTACAAACGTGTAGTTCTAAATCAAAACATTATAAAAATTTCCCAAAAATAGTATTCCTTTTGATGAAAAAGAAAATATTAATCCACAATGTATGAGGACTAATAGTAAGTAACATTACTAATCAAAGAAAAAAAAAACATTTAAAGGGAAACAAATAAAATAAAATAAAACATGATATAGTGGGAACAAAAAAAAAGCATGTCTATGGAAACATGAAACATCTACATTAATCTTCATACATTCCTTTTGAACAAATATCACTTTGCTACCACATGGTGTGCCTCAATAAGTACATACAATAATTTGTTCTCTTCAATTACCACAAAATTTGATACCTATGTCTCCTAGTACTATAATTACCATACACACCTCAACATTCCAATGAGAAAATGGAAGAAATAATTTTCTTGTTGAAGAAATTCTCTTCTCACTAATCTATCTAAGTTAAGATTTCTAGGAAGCAAATTTCCATAATAGAGAATTGTTGTGAGAGTTGAAGTAGGTTGACACACTAGTGCCTTTGCAAGCTTCATCAATGAAGTTAACATTAATGGCATTAGAATCTGCAAAAACCAATCACATGAAATATGATAAACATGTATATGGACCAAATCAGTATGAGAGTGAGGTAGCATATATACATACCATGGTTATAATTGACTTATTGATAAGTTGGTGATGAACAAGTGATCAATATTTTGGTTATGTATAGAACAAGAGAAAGACAAGAAAAAGTTATTTTGTGAGCTAGCTGTCTTTTGTAATGGATGCTGAAAAATGCTTAATGAGGTTCAGATCAAAGTAAACACCTACACATATATACAAACTATGAAATAAGTGATTTCCAACCATTGGGCTTTGATATAGCTGCAGCATCGGGCTTATCGATGTGAATTAAAGAAATATTCTTTGTCAAAACAAGAATGAAAATGTATTTTTTTTAAATATAAAGTTTCCGTATTCCAAAATTGTCGAATTGAATCGAATCGAATTAAAATTGAAAAAGAAAAATATCAAAAACAAATTAAAATTTTTTATTAAAATAATTTATAAAAAGTATAAAATTTTGATTATTTAATAAATTATTCGGTTTGAAAAAAAAGAAGTTAAAACGTCTATTTTTGGCCACTTGTTTGTGGCTAACCAACAGCAGTAAAAACGGTATTATCGTACTTTGGCTGTACTTTTAGATTATAAAAAGTTGGTTTAATAACTTTTTTTAAACTCCAAGGTTGAACTTGTGCTACTACGTGAGAAAACAGTGGGTGTTTATTCACATGAAGTCAGAATCAAGAAGCTAAAAAAAAGATGGAAAAAGCAATTATAGTTAGGTTAGAGTATTCTGCACAAGGAAATGACAAAACCGTTTGCTGCCTCGCAATAAATAAAAAGAAAATGTGCTTTTCATAAAATATATGTATTTAATATGTGTTTCATAGATGATGAAATGATGGAATAAAGTTTAGTTTTTTAATACAGTGAATTGGATTTTTGATATAGTGGAGAGTGTTGAATCTTCGAGATTAATACTTTAATTTTAAATTTGTGAATGAGAGAAAAAAATAGTTTGAGTGAAAATGAATTGAATATCTGAAATGGCGAATTTGATTTTTATATAGTAAAAAAGGATAAAGTTATTTGTAATTTGTCGGTGACTCAGTAATTTGTGTGAGTTATTATTCGATTAGATCTTACAATGAGAGATGTGATCTAGGCTGTGATATTTTGTCCTTGCAAGAATGAATGTCAATATGTTTCTGCGTTTTCTTCACGAGTCTTGTAAGTGACAGAGAACAATGTGTGTTTGATTCTCTTGTAAAAAAATTGATTTAAAAAAAATTAATTTCATAAAATTGATTCTTAAAAGAATTAAAATCAAAATAATTTATATTTAAATAAATTTTTGTAAAATTTATAGTTTTTGAATCTACCCGTATTCAAAAACTATAAATCATATCTTTAAGTATAATCTATTTTAAAAAGACATGCCTATGTTTGGAATTCATAAACAACCATGGTAAATATTCACGGTTCGTAAAAGCTACTAATAGTAACTTTTGAAAATCAATGTAGAGAGACTTAAACGTGCGGTGGCGATGATGGACCATGTTTTCAAACATAATCAATTTTATTCGAGAACAATCCAAAATTTTGTTATCAATTGTGTGTGTTTCAAACGTAAAATCAAACATACATTTCGTCTCTTTAAAATTGATTTTATGTGTAAAGATTTACACTCATTTCAATTTTTGTTTTAATATGATATAAATTAAACTTATGTAGAATTTTTAGAAATATGAGATTCATTTTTCTAAAACTATGTTTTCTATAAGCAAACTTCATTAAGTTATAGAATACAATAGACACTCTTACTCATTATAATTGTTCTGGATTGAACCTGCATTTGACCCAAACATCATGTAAGGCCTAATCTATCTATGTTGTAGAAGAAGACCAACAGGAACGGGTTTGTCCTTGACTATGCCGTGCAGTGATTCCATCCCTCTCCTCGATCAGGATTTGTCTTCCGAAGACATCCTCACTGCAAAATCGTCAAGGAAGACCAACGGTCCTCAAGAGGTTCTCGCTAGCACCCTCCTCGTAAAATGGACATCTAGCACCTTCGAGTATCACGAAGTCCTCTTGACCTCAAAAGGACCGCATCCACGTTCTCCTGATAGTTCAGAGAAATCTATTCAGGTTGGAGATCACGTGCTGACCTCCGCTACACACGTAGGACCTGATAGTCCCTATTTTGGGCATGCTTGGTCAATTCAATAGGGAGACCTTGGCCTAGCGCTGGGGGTTATAAATACCCTCTCACTTGAGAGGGTCAGGTATTCATTCATCCATACTCTCACACTTTAGTTGTACTTACTGTAAACTTTACTTTGACATCAAAGTGTCTTGCAGATACCCCCTGATAGGAAAAATAGCAAGTGTACTATTTTTGCCTTGCAGTAGTAATAATGGGAAATTCCCAGGATATCTATCTCAAGGATTGTGTGTAATTATCGAGTTAAATTCATAGTTCAATTAAATAAAACTTGAAATGGGTTTTGGTTTTGAAATTGTCACTTAACAAGTAGCAGAAATGTAAAATAGATTTTCACTGATCTGAGGAGCATGCTAGGGACGGGTGTGTGATTTGAACCCGTAATAATTGTTACTCTTGTTCTCTTTAACAAGTTCATTACCTTCAACTACCGAATCTTTAGATTGTTTTCCCCTAAGTCCTTAGTGAGAAAATCTTTAACAATTTATCATAAATCCTAAGTCTTTAGAGATATCTGATGGAGTCAAGCTTTTATGTTATCAAGATTTTACCGGTGACCTATAGGGTATCCCTAGTCCTAGGTGATATCTATTATAGTCTAATTTTTCAAAAACCTTAACAATGGCGGTCCAGCCTTAATTGTTAGCCGTGGATCAATCCCTATTTTCCGATAGGAAAGACATAAGAACTTTGAACAATTAAATCGAAAGGAAACTTATTGTGTCAAAATCAAGAATTCACAATTAATAAATTTGAGAATCAGAGACACCCCCCTAGCATTGGGGGGTTTAGCCTCTCATAGTATTAAAAGGAAAAGTAATAATAAAATTTGACATTACAAAAGGTGAGGATTCTTCGATCTTCAATTGTTGTTGCTCATGAAGGAATCTCCATCTCCAAATCTTTTGAAAGCACCAATCTTTGTCGTTCTTAATCTTCTCCAATAAAAAGTCTCTTAATTCATCGTGGAAAGTCCTCTAAATAGCAAAAACTCTTTTAGGTCGGTTGGAAGTACCCAAAACACCCCCACATCTTAACAGATAGGCAAAATAGAGAGAAAAAAAAACAGAAATCAACGTCAGAGGCCAACACGTCCCGTGTTAGGCGACACGACCGCACATGTTGACCTGTGTAAAAATTATTGGTCAAACTCCCCCAAACTTAAAATGTTGTTTGACCTCAAGTAACCATTACAAGAACTCATTAAAATCACAGCAGACCGATACTCATACGTGAGACATTTGTTCCAATTGATCAAAAAGCAGCTCGTCTGATGTTCACATGTCTCAAAAAGTTTGTGTAAGAACCTTTAAATCTCGAGATTCCTCTTCAAATACCTTGATAATGAGAAAACATATCATATAATTACCATGCTTTTTACCGATTTTATATTTCATTAAGTCGACTAACCCCCGATTATTCCGAGATTATTTGTCTTTTTACAGGTATAACATTTGTCGACTCGAACCGATGGAAAAGGACAACATGAAGAAGGCTAGACAATAAACAAAGAGAAAAAGAATAAAAAATACAAAGTTTGGATTTTTGGAACAGTGACGGTCGTCACACCCTTGTGACGGACATAACGCCCCCCAACTTGGAGAAACGCTCGTCACACATCACTGACGAGCGTAATGCGCTACTCAAGCGCGTTACGACCGTCACCCATCTGTGACGACCGTCACGCGCGTGAAGGTGGACGTTATACATGGATAGAGACGTGGGCATTGAAGGGCAGACTCGTTCTCCTTTCTTCCTGCTGAGTCTCCTATTTTCCTGCCACCCACTATTAGTGCTCCCTATATTTTCTCCATTGAAGACTTCCTCAAGATTTCTTAACTGCTGTTTTTCCTATGCTATATATATGTGTGCCAGTGCAAAGTAACGGGGTCGAAGAATTTTCCTCAGAACAAATATTATTATTCTTTTGCAATTATTTTCCATTTCCTTGTTTTGGAATATTGTTTTCACATTCCTGTAATTTTCATTCCAAGTCTTAGTTTTTAGTTTTAAGTGTTAATTCTTCCTTCAAGAATTAACACGAATTATTCACTTCAATCAAGCTCAAGGATTATTGTAATACATCAAGATTACCATAACAACTTTGATTCCAAGTTTTTATTGCACTTAATATTTATTCAGTTCTCATATTATTCCAATTGTTGTTATGAATTATATTTTGAATTGTATTGCTTTCAAGTTAATTATGTCCGGCTAAATTATTAATACCGGTATGTGACCGTAAGAACTAAAAGAATTCAGTGATACCTTGGCCAAAAATATTTATAAAACAATTTCTGGTTTCCAATTTCCAAGATTAATTTAACTAACCTTGTCACGAGAGTGAGAGGCTAATTAACACGATTTTGCCACGAGAGTGGGAAATTAATTAAGGCAAGAACCTGCATGCGAGAGCTGGGGTTCAACCCAGATAGTGGTAACGAAACATTGATTTTTAAATACACGAGAGTGTTTTAATAAATTAATTAAATTCAAATTGTTTTCAAAAAGTGTTATTAAATTTAAAGTGCATCCACTAGGTTTAGTAGCATGACTTATTTCACAAACACGAGAGTGTATGTCTCAGGTTTTTAAACAATTAGCTTTTACCGAAATACTTTATAGGCCAAGCGATTCATCGAATTCCCTAAGTCCGATTATCACATACCGGTATAATTAGTACTATTATTTTTAATTAAACTGTTTCCCCCAAAAATCGAATATTCATCGCTTAGTTAGACAAACTGTAGCATTAGATCGTATGCGATTGATCCTCAGTCTCTATGGGTTCGATAATCTTTTAAAACTAGAACGACTAAACTGTATACTTGCAGTTAGTATCCCGACAGACTTATAAAGTCCCGATTAAGTT